GAATTTGTTTGTAAGATAATCATCTATTCTTTTTGGACATTCAAGTGTTTTGCGCAATCGCGCTAAGTGTTTGTGCGCATCTGCTCGATTGCAGAGGAAGCACGAAGGTTCTGAAGTGCAGTCCTTTGAGTTATGCCCATCTACCCTGCTCCTAAAGAAATCTCGGCCCCGGTCGGGCTCTTTGCATCCGTGTCTTTGGTGTCAGTATCCTAGGCATTTATAGGACAGAGGAACTATTAATCTCCTGCGAATCTTAGAGCTTACCCAGCCGATCTTTATACGTGAAATGCATAATTGTATCGAAAACCTTAAAAATAAATATCCAAACCGTACAGAAAGAGGTCTTGGCAAAATTGAAGTAATACTAAGTAAATTTTTTGCCTATTTTTACCAAAAAGTGGAGTGCTGCATTGAAAGTAAAAAAAAGTTCTGTTTTTTTTGGCCATGGACGCTAAACAGTTTTACCCACCGTGGGACACCATGTTTGTATACATATATAGAGTTTCTGCTTTCCCGTTTTGTATAACGCAGCATGCGCAAGTATACAGTTTGTATAATACGAGGACTTTTCCTCACCTTTTTAAAGCTTTTTGAGGTTAGGCTTGTATGGGAGGTGTGCGTAAGAATAAACCGATTACAGCCATTTTAAGGGTGTTTGCTTTTACTAATATTATTATTATATATATGGAAAAAATTTAGGAGTCGTGCATTCATCGTTGCTGATTTTAATGACATTTTTAATCGTTTTTGAAGTTAGTTTTGTAAGGGAGGTATGCGTTAAAGTAAACCGATTTTTAAAATTTTGTGTATGTTTACTTAGTCTATTATTGCAAATATATAGGCAAAATTTCGGAGTCCTTTATTCATCGGTGCCCTGTTTTTTTTTTATCGACTTATGCTCTCACAGGTTAAATACGAAAAATTAAAGCCCTACGCCTACTCCTAATTTTCTCCAAAAAATGTATGGGGCTGCAGCACTCTGTGGCGTAACGCTGTTGGTGACATCAAGACATAGATATGCCACAAAATGGATGAGAAGCTTGGCCAAAAACTGAACAGAATTGTGGTTACGAACATCATTTTTATATGTATATAAGTATGTACACATGTATGCGAATTCATTTCAACGTTATATTTATTCATATGTAAGCTATTCATGCTAACAAAGAGCTTGGTGGCTCCTAATATTTATTCAGGTTGTGCAAGCACTCATGCCTTCAGCAGAGAAACGAGTTTATTTAACTCATTTACTTTTATTCCCTGATCTTATCGTCAGCTGCATTTGTGGGCTTCCTTAAGGTTTTTTATTTGGCCACTTTTTGGATATTATTTTTTGTTGTTGTTTGAGCTGTGCAATGTTTTAAAATTTGTGGCAATGCAACCAACCGTTGAAGACGTTGCTGCGCGCTTTTATTTAAAAAAATATATACGTATGTAAATGGATTAAACTGGTAGAAAAAGGTGAGCATAAAACCAATTCCCAAAATTTTGCATTTTTGGTAAAACGAAATTTTATTAGCTTTTTGTTGAAACCTGCTGAGTTTTCATACAAATACACAATTGCCAGCCCTTATTCCATACCTTATTATTCATATATATTAGCGTGGGCCGAAAATCCGCTTTTTTAGAATTTGGATTAGTAATAGCAAAAATATGATTCCTTATGCTTTAAAAACAATCTGTGTGAGAGATGATATTTTTTGGTCAATATCTAACAAAGTTCATTGTGGTCAAAATTTAAAAAATAATAAATACAGTAATTAATAATTTTTTTAAATAAAACTGCAAGTATCCTCGAAAGTATTCGTCCTACATAATCTGGTACAAGAGCCTTTTTTGTAGAGAATCGAAGTAAGCTAAGAAGAAATTTTTTTAGCACTTAAACTTAGATGGACTTGGGCGAACCTAAGATATTGACCAAAAATTGTCATCTTTCACACAGATTGTCTTTAGAGCATAATTAACCATATCTTTGCTATTACCAATCAAAATTCGAAAAAATCGGATTTTCGGCCCACGCTAATATCTATTGAAGGTATCACTGAATCCATTGTGGCCTAGTTTTCGTGAAATCTACGAAGAAGCAAAACTTATTGCTTATTTTTTTTATTAGAAGGATTACATTTCATACACTAATGGCCGGATTCACAGTGCTTAGTTAAACAATTGTTAACTTAACCACCAAGAAGTGTTTAACTTTGAATTTATATTCCGAGTCATATAGTTAACTACGGAAATTCATATCGCTTGAAAATATACAAATTCCAAAAATCACTACTTTTCCATACAAATTTGAAATTCATTCCACAAAAAAATATTGCACAAGAGTTTGACTATGGGGGCATACAGGTTTAAATTTTGTTAACTGAGCGTTGTGAATATCAAAATCGATAGTTAAAGTATTGTCAGTGGTTAACTACACACTGTGAATTTGGCCCTAAGAAAAAAGTAAAATGATTTTTCAAACAGAGACTTTTCGACTTTTCCATGTTAAAGCTTAAAAAGACAGTTAATTCCCAAGTTGATCAGGATCAACGCTGCCGTCTGTTTATGCCTTTACACGATATTTACTTAAACGTGTCAACAGGACCGTCGGCCGTCCTTATATAAGTCTATCAAGTTTACAAATGTGTTATGTTTTCCTTGCCATAATGAACGCCATAGCTTTACTTTCGCTTGCAACCAGTCTAGTCCATAAAAGCTCGACACTATATCCAACCGCGTATTCAAAATACATGTTTCCGGGGAAATTATTTAAAGCTATCTATGTAGTATTTCAGCGCATTATTCAACTAAAATTTATACACCTACCATTTAGCTTTGAGTGTTCTTAGCAAAAGCCTTCACTTATTTTATTTCATTTATTATAGTGCACATGTTAAATACAGTTATAAAAGGCATGCTCCCATAGTTAAACTCTTGTGAAATTAATTATTTTTTTCTTTTTAACAAATTTTGAAATTTGAATAGAAAAGTATTGATTTTTAGAATTTGTATATTTTCAGGCGATATAGATTCCAAAGTTAACTATCTTACAGTGAATATAAATTGAAAGTTAAACTCTTGCTGGTGGTTAAGTTAACAATCCTTTAACTAAGCATTGTGAATCCGGCTCTAAGCAATTTAAGTTGAAATACGGTCCCCTCCCTACATATATGTGTGTATGTACTTTACGTAATTTGGCTAAATAATTCTTTAATATTTACCCAAAATAGATATTAACAATGTCTCTTTATCAAAAAATTTGTTTCGCATAAAATTTTTGGAAAATAGGCCTACTTATATCATACACAGATGTATGTGTATTTCATTAGAAAATCGGAGGGTTCAGAAACCTATTTGTATGTTTCATTCCTCTCTACCTAAAACCTGAAATACATATTTATGGTATGTGTCAGGTTTATTCCTTTTTTTTTTGATTGTGGCACAGTGTAATTGAAATTACTTACGAACTTACTTTATTTCATTCATCAGAACACTTGGCCGGCCCTGAAACAATTAAAACTGCTTTTTAAAACCCTCCGACTTCAACATAACGGCTTAATTTGCCAGCTTGCCTGTCAGTACTAAACCCATAATTTGTTGCTTAGTTTAATGCAAACTTAACTTCATTTTAAATTTGTAAAATCAATATAATTTCATAAAAAATAATAGTTTACTACTTCCTTGCGTTGCAGTCGGCAAGCACAAATGTGCTAAGTTGTGTTTATTTGTATATCCATGTGCATTTCATCCATGTCTATAACTACATAGCCATATGTACAAACATATTAAAATTTACAAGAGATACATCCATACACATAGGAAAACACCCTTGAATAAATCTGCAATAAGTTGTAGTATTTATGGGTCTGTTTATTACAAAAAGAATTTCTCACGATTTTATGTTAAAAATTTATAACTATATAATATTTACACAAATTATCACAAGTTATCGCAACTTTTTGTTAAATCATTCTGGCAATTAAGTCCCTTTTCATTCTTCGTTCAGCAAAGAATGCTTCTTATTTGACAGAAACCGGTGGCAGGCAAAAGCGTGTGCATATGTACATACAAAAATACGATTAAATATAACTGCGGCAGCGACAATTTATCTTTGGAATAAATGAACCAAGCCCCTCGTGGCGAACAACCAAGCGAATTTTGTTTTAAAGTGGGATTTTGCTTTACATTTATACACACCGAGAAAAAGGTAACAAATGCAATTTTCTCAGAGCATTTTTGAGTTTTTTCATCTTGGCGATTTAAAATGTTTGAACAGGAAAGGTAGTTTTAAACAAATATCTCTTTAATTTAACCCTTAATTAGGCGCATAAAGAAAATCACACAATTAGTCGCATGAGGTCCCAGTGACCCCAACAAAAGTGTTGAAAAAAGAGTTTTCAAAATAAAAAAACGAAGTGTGTATAACCAAAATATTAAAGTACTATATTATCGTTAACTTAAAAAAAAAAACAAAAAAATATTTTTGACTTCAAACATAAAAAAATTTTAAAAATTTACCTCCCCCAAAAAATATTACGTTAGTGGTCGCATAGGGTCAGAACGCAAGACTAAATAAATAAAACGAAATGTTTATTGTCATGAACATTAAAGCTCTTTATTATAGTTAACTTTAAGAAAGAAATGCATAACTTTGACTTCAAACTTAGATACAAAAATAAAAAATTACCTCCGCCAAAAAATGTTACGTAAGTGGTCGCATGGGCTCAGGGCTTAAAATAGTAGCGACACATGCGTATACGCCGATGTACTGGCAGCGACTTAATTAAATACCCCGCGGGGAGTTAGGAAGCTAGAAAGAGCGCGAGCACGCTCCAAGCACTCCAAGACTTTTTTTTCAACTTTAAATGGCCTTGACCCTAATGCGCCTAATTAAGGGTTAAAATAATTTATTTATTTACATAAATGACTAAAAAAAAAATATTCAAACTAAATATTTGGAAACATATATACATACATACATATGTATGTATGTACATACGTATGTATGTGTGTACATGTGTTCATTCGCTGGCTGTATTTGAATGTGCAGAGATTTTTTTTCCGAGGGGAAAGCATCGAAAGCCTTAACCCCGTCCTGTGATCACACCTCCCAGGTGGGTTCCAGAACATCCTAGGTTTAATTGTCGTCTGACACAACATACTAAAATGATAATAAAAATTTTATTCTAATATTGGAATACCTGTTAGAGATATTGCGAACCTTTGCGAAGTTACAACGGTTGTTCGTCCCAAGTGCAGACAGGTCGTTCTGTATTTATCCCTTCCAATGTCAAAGAATCTGTTCACCGGATCATAATCTTCCATGCGCACGAACTGTCCAGCCAGCGCAATATTTTATTGTGCGTAACTATGTCCATGTCATTATAAAGCTCTTATAGCTCGTCAATCCGTCTTCTTTGGTATTTGTCGCCCACCAGAACAGGGCTATAGATCTTGCATTGAATAGTTGTCTCGAAAGCATCCCCTTCTTTTCCTGGTACCTCTCAACTATTGCGCTAGTCGCCATTGGCCGCGGGGTTGAATAGTATGATGCGTATTTATCTGCTGAAACGGTGCACCGGTTTTTCGCAATACCACTTGTTCCTCTTCCAAAGCTCACAGAAATGCTCTTTGGTCAAGGGTTGGGTCCTGAATAATATTACTTTTTCTCAGTGTATGAAATAAAATGCGCGAGCACATGCCATCAGTAGAGCACAGTAGAATGATGTGGTCAAAACTGAAGTAAAAAAATCCAATAATGGAATTTGAAACATACATACAGAGCTCTAGGTACATACATACATATACATATACCTACTTGTTGCTAAAACCGATTGATAAATTAACTTTTAAGTACCGACGTGTGGTCTGACAGGCACTTTGAGAGTTTCAAAAGATACATGTGTTAGCGAAGACGATCCTCGCGTGCTTCTCTCTACCACTCGAGCAGGCCCGCGGAAGCGTTTGTGGAGAGTGGCTGTATTGGAGGGTGCAATTTCGGTTAGTTTTAATTTTTATAAGATCGCGCGAGGTGTGTCAGACCACTCGGTTGCACTTATGTAACTTTGTTTGGTACGACTTTTTCTTATGATTTTCAAGAAAACGGTTTATTTGATTTTAAATTTCTATTTTCATTATTTATCTAGGTATTATTCTTAAAGAAAAAATAATTGTTTAATTTAATGTTAATGTTTAAATGTAAACTACTAAAACAAATATTTTTTCCCCCAAATGAATTTGAGACTGCAATATCTTATGTTCATAATTAGTAATAATCGTGAACATTTCTATATTTTGTTTTACTTATACAATAACTAGATGTATTACCAAAACGTAAAAAGTTTTCTTTTTTAAAGAATATAAAGAAAAATAAAAGTTTTCGTTAATAACGCTATGGTGGTCTAGCAGACATCACGTCGGTACTTATGTAACTAAAATAGCACGTCGGTACTTAAAGGTTAAATTAAAATATAACTGTACTATGCGTAAATAAGAATAAATTGATTAAATAATTTCAACGGGATGTCCGCATACTTTAAAATTAAGATACATTTGGATCAATTTGTACACTGTACATGGCGCGAAACTTGTGTCTTCATTATGTTTATGAATTAAATTATACAATTTACTTCTGAATGTTGAAAGATGAAATAAATTGGAAAATGTCAGACATTTAGCCGTTCCGGCAAAAAACTACTCACCACCATTGACCACTGGCGCCCACCAGCAGTCGCTTCTGCTTCCTTGTAGGCATCCGAAACTTCTACCGAGATGATTTACATAAAATCCAGATTGGCATGCAAATACATGAACGAATAGAACTACGCATGTACATCAAACAAAAATACTTTTAAGCAGGACGACCGTTCAAATACTAAAGAGCTTCACCGTTTCAAAGCGCTCAGCTCGTTACTTCGGCATCGTCGAGAGGTTGCTCCAATAGAGCCATGTCGAATGGTAGATATCGCCTTTAGTGGGTATGCACACTTTGTGGTGTCAACGGCGGCAAATGTCTGTTAATAAATTTATTTATGCGGCTTACATACTAATAACTTACTCATTTGAATGGCATTCTTTTCTTAACCGAGGATTCTACTGTCACTGAAATTCTAAGTGTTCAATAAAACAACAACATAAATACATATGTATGTATGTATGTGCGCTATAAGTACCCTGTAGTCAAATGTATTAGTTGTAAACTATCTCACAACTAGTATGAACCGCATGCCCAACTAGTCAGCCAACTATCTTTTTTCCATGCAATCAACTGGTATTTTCAACATGGGGATGTCCTACGAGATGGAAATTGTCAGATTTCGGTCAAAAATATACCAGTCTCATACTAGTTCAAAATAGAAAGAAAAATGCTAGTCCAATTATGGACCAAAACCACTACTTTGGGAGTCAAAAAATAAAATTAATGCATGAATATACAATAAGACACTTTTGATTAAGAACACTTTAATATATAACACCTTTTTATTTAGCAGCCTTAGATTTGCCAATAATTAGTGTTAAATTTTTGGAGTATTAATTGAAAGCAAAAATAAATACATAAATGTTTCAAACTTTCGAACATTAATTTTGAATGCATTTTTCATTAAATGTTATTAAAAGTAAAAGGTTTAAGGTACAATAAATACTATATTTTTATCCTTTTGAATAATATTGAATATGCAAAATAAAACATTTTAGTTAGAAATAAAACGAATACTTTAGTTCATTGTTGAGTGAACTAAAATAAAAATAAAAGGTTTTATTAAAGTGAATTAAATTCATTAACTTTGCACATTTCAGTCTATTCTTTTTAAAATTTTAATAATTAATGTTTAAAATTTGAGATTTTGATAAGAATACAATAAATAAATAATTCAAGCAGTTATTAAATATTCTTAGTTTTTATGTATAATTTGCCTTGATGATTAATAATAGAAATTAATCAAATAATTATAATCGTGTAATTAAAAAGAGTCAAATATGATCAAAAATATTATATATGATTAACATTTTTTAAGTAATTAATTATTAATCATTAAAAAGGTGGTAATATCGGTATTTAATCATTATTTTATAGGTCTGGTATAATTGAATACGTACTTGCTTTAATGGTTGACAATATACCCAAATAAAACTTATAATATTTTGTGTACTTTAAATATAATTAAACTGTAGAAGTCAAATAAAACAGGTCATGAATAAATCGTTTTGTACTGGGTACAAGTCTGGCCATTTTCGAACTAGTTCAGTTTCAGTCAGAAAAATGTAGTTGTAAACTAGTATTTTTCCTGACTAGTTTGTGGTTTCACTACGGGGTAGAAGATAAAAGGTTATTGCCACTTGTTCAATAGATCAACATAGAGTGCGCGACTCTAAGTTGGCAATGACGCACGAACTCATAGACCAGGTGGTTTTAGCATTAATTAAAGTATAACATTAGATGGCGACTATGAATTGATTTATATTGGGACTTTGTTCACTATCGCTAGCTGCACTGCCTACAATTGCATTGGGAACGGTGAAGGCAAAGGTAGTGCGTTTCAAGCAAGTCATGCCGTTTCGAAACCCATAACTTATCTCCTTGTTGATACCAGCTCAATGTTTGATATCAAGTTATAAATTTATGTACATATGAATGTATGTAACTCGACCAGCTATGGCGGATGCACCATTCATTCGTTGGTCACGTCTCTACTTTGCATTTCGAATGTGAGCTGTAAGACAAAAACGAATTAAACTAAAATATGTAACTGACATGTCATCGTGTGATTAAACGAAAATATACTTACTTATATACATATGAAACGTAGCAGCTTGCGATTAGTTTTAGGCCAATCAATGGGCACAAAAACCAATGTATGTATACATATAGATAAAGTCAGAGTCTACCTGAGTGGGCACACGTTTAAATATTTTTTTTTAATGCATGTACATACATATATATATACGTATATATGTGTGTAGGCTCGCTGGAATTAGGATCTAAATAAAATTGAAAAAAATTTGTATTTCAAATATTCATGCACTTAAGCCTTACGTTCAAATTCATAGCTTTACTTTCTTATTTTTAAGAAATTCGGTGAAAGCATTTTACAGTTTAATTACAACTAATATTTTTTCTTTCAATTTCAGCAAACATCTTTTCGTAATAAAGGGTAAGTTCGAGTTCAATCATATATGTACATATGTATGTATGTACATACGAAAAGCAGACGGGTTAACTGACCTTCCAAGTACATAGTAAACGAAAGTGAGCGAGAATAATGGTGACAATGAAATAAATTGTGTGGATTTTGTTCCCAAACTCATTTGGCCTTGAATACAAATCGCAATTCAGAACATAACTAACAAGTATCTAACAGAAATAAAAGAGAAGGAAAAATTAAGACGAGTGGCCTCGGGGAAAGTGTTAGACACTAATTCTTAAAAGGCTTACTGTTAAAAAAAAACAATATGCATTCGAAGGCTAAATATTTATGTCATTAAAAAAATAACTCGTAGAAAATTGTAAAAAGAGTTTTGATGTAAATATTCAAGCCAAGTTAAAAGTGAATAATATTAATATGGTGGTGGACATCAGAGGTTAATCCATATTCATCGCTGCATTTTCATGGGAAGAAATGCACCGATATCTGATGTTTTACAGAATTGTTTAGAAAATAAATAACCAAGTCAAAACAATAAAAAAGCGCACTAAAAAATCAAAAATTTATTTTTTGAACTTACGTATCCACTCAAGAGCCATGCTCGATTACTTCGTAATAAATCGTTACTGTGGTTGACATTACAACCTGAGAGTATTCGCTGAAAATCGAGTTGGTACAGGTGGTTTACGAATGCAATGTGTTGAGTGATTGACTCGGTTTTTCAAACCGGAGTGAGCCGGTATTTTCCAAAATTTCCGGCGGTTTCTTTGAAATCGCGATTTTTCGAATATCGAATAAGCGGAGTTTTGTTATGGAATAAAACGGATTTTCCATCTTGAATATTTTGCAACTGCATTTTCACAGCAACTTTTTTTTACCGAACATGCTCATAACCTACAAACGATCGTGACGTAGTTTTCTACGTTTTCTTTCGAACAACTAACAAACTGCTAACGACTTTTATTTCAAACTTTGTGAGAGCTCTTGGATAAACCGCCTCATGTAAATTGCCTATTAGTTTAATTTTTGCTTTTGATTTTGTGGAGTTGGTGGCTGGAGGAGGGGTGAGAAGACCACCGCTCAAAACGTTCTTTGATGTAGATTTCTACGACAAAAGCAATCTTTCATGTGATTTTCGACATATAAAAAAAGGTAGAGCCACATTCATCTAACCGATGGCATCTTATTCTTTGAACCTTTAAACATTAACTAGTAAACAAAAATGGGAACTCACTTTTTAAGCTCGGTAATGTTAAAAAAGAATAATAAAAAACTAAGCAAATATAAAATAACTAGCAGACCCGGCGAACTGTTCACGTTCATGATTTTCAGTGGCGCATTTATCTTCTAATATTACGGTTTGGTGTAGGGATGGGTAAATTCTATATTCGAAGCTTCGATATTCGAATTTCAATCGAATTTTAGCTCCAAAATGGCGAATTTTTGAAATCGAACTTTGTGTTGCTAAAACTCGGAAAAAAACGAACTTTTCTAGAAAATATCGAATTTCATCTTTATTTCCAAAAAAATCAACTCTTCATCTTTCTTCTTTCTGACTAAATTTGCCATCACTGTGTGTGGCACTCCATTTGTCTTAGGGATGTAAGAAAAAAAATACATGTTTTTCGAATTGATGCATCGGGACACAAAATCTGTGCCTAAAATGAGCTGTTATTCCAAACTAAAATTTAAAATTTTTTTTTGTTAAAAACTATTTTTTTGTTGATTTTTTATTTTAAATGTTTAGAGGCTTTTACGTTGGTGGCATGAAGCTGTTACCTGAGAAGACCCCTAGTAAAATTTCTCGGAGAATAATTTTCTAGAATATATCAATCCTCTAACGACCTTCCAAATTTGCGTATTGCGGGATTTCTTGATATAAGGGTCAAAATGAGCCTTTTCGGCGCGAGCTAATGGGTTAAAATGTTTTACAAAAATATTTCCCTTGAAATTTTATTATATGTTCGGTAATTATCTAGGTGAGCTTTTAACCCCCAAAATTGGTTAAAGTTTTGGAAAGGGGGTACCATTAGATGCGTCTGGACCCCAATAACAAGAATCCGAAAGCGGAAATTAACTTTTTTACCCGATCAAAAGTTATTAACCTACGAAGAAAGGTGTTCTCTGCAAAAGGTGTTCAGCGCCTTTTCTTCGCAACACAGAAAGAGAATTCTACTTTGTGAGGGTTATAATCCCTGAGTGCGGCCGAAGGCCGCCTATTCAGAAAGAAGTTCTGCGCAGAAATACTTCGGATTCTTTTTGTAGCAATACAGAAAGGAGAAGGAAGTGAGGGTTGCAATCCGTAATTATCTAGGTGGGCTTTCAACCCCCAAAATTGGTCACAGTTTTGGAAATGGGGGTACCATTAGACGCGTCTGGTCCTCAATAACAAGAATCCGAAAGCGGAAATTAACTTTTTTTACCCGATCAAAGGTTATTAACAAAAAATTTTGGGGGTTGAAAGCCCAACTATTTAATTATCATATATTCTTAAACTTTGATTTCGCCCAGACATTTATTTTAACTATTTTTTCGAAAACTACTTAGGTCGAGACATGAAAACTTTAGTAGGCCATGAAATAAAAAAACGAGCTAACTTTTGCAAATCCACCGAGTGTTTTATTACTGGATGGGTATACTTTCATAGAATGTTAACAAAGTCCGGGCTGGTTTCGGCTGTCCCACAGTGTAATTTGAGTTTAACTTTTTAGACAGGTGGCCACTCTCTTCAAGCAGCTCAAAAATATTTAAATTGTTGCATAGTATTTTAAGCACAACACTTTTTAACTATAGTCGACTTTTCAAACAGGTGGCACCCCTCCTAAATGTAATTAAAAAATAAAGTTTATTCAAAACCATTTCGATTGATACCCATATTGGGGTAATTTATTTAACTTATTAAATAAATTGATTTTGATGTTCTTACATATGGCACAAAACTAAAACCATATTACACATGTACAGGGTAAGCCCTTTCATTTGACACCTACCTCCTTTTTGAAAATCGAACGAACGATACAGATTTTATGACTTGGTGTTAAATATTTAAAGTAAACATCTGCGGAAGCGATTATTTGAATTTGACACCTCATTTTTTTTTTAATTGAACGAACGATACAGATTTTATGACTTGATGTTAAATATTTAACGCAAACATCTCCGAACTCGACTAAGAAGTTTAAATAAAAAAACAAATTGGAAAATTCGAAAAAATTCGAATTAAATTGAATTTGCCCCACCAAATTTCGAATCGAATAATCGAATGGTTGGGCGAAATTCGGAAAAAATCGATATTCAACACCCCACTACCCATCCCTAGTTTGGTGGTTGTCAGAAGGTATACTTCCATTGCCGTCTTAAGTAACCTACACTCTAAAAAAATTTTGTTTAAATTTGCGCATATTAAGGGTGGTTACCAGTTTGTTCTCTTAATAAATGCAAATTTACATACCATGTTAATTAAATTAAACACTGCTTGTTTACTTTTACTTATCATATGTGTGGCGTAGAAAAAAAAATCAAATTTGTTTTTTGAGTTCTAAACATTTATTGTTCACAATTTCACAGTTTACAAATAAAACCTTAAAAATTTCCTCTAAAAAATGTTTGTTTGAATTTACGCATACAAAGAGAGGTAACCAGTTTCCTCTCCTAAAAGTGAATAAATATGAGCACTTAATATTTAATAATAAAAATAATAGATTGGCGCTTACACATATGTTAGCGTTTGGCCGAGCTTCTCCTCCGACTTGTGGCGTGCGCCTTGATGTTGTCACACAAAGCGGAGGGACCTACAGTTTTACGTCGACTCCAAACGGCGATTGTATTTTTATGAGAAGCTGTTTTTCATGGCAGAAATACACTCGGAGGTTTGCCATTGCCTGCCGAGTGACGACCGCTGTTAAGAAAAAACCTTTTTCTATATTTTTGCGATGTTGCTTTGACCAGGGCTTGAACCCAGGAGCTGATGAGTGAAAGCGCGCACTGCTTACCACTACACCACAGCGGCCGATCATATTTACTATTTGTAAAAAATATATTTTTACTTTCAAAATGTTTGTAATTTTAAACATTTCATGTGTATATTTATGTGTATATTTTGAACAACTCATGTTCAAAATCAAATCTTAAACATCTTGTCCGTATATTTGTAAAGATTTTGTTTGAAAGATAAACACTTTTCAGTAAAAGTTTTACATGCACTTTTTAGAGTGTAGCAAAAGTGTACATGCATATAAAGATATGTAATAGTTTCAGTGCGTTTGAAAGGCGCCACGCCCCTTTTTCCAATATACCCAATTTTTCTTCATGACTATGCGATTGATTTTATATATCTTGTACATACCAAGTTCCAGTACCTTACCATGAACACTTCCAGAGATATGCAGTATGAAAATTTCGGTTTGTATGGAAGGTGCCACGCCCTGTTTTTCCAATAACCGCAATTTTTCTTCATGAGTATGCGCCTGTTTTCATATATCTCCATACCAATTTCGATTACTCTACTATGAACACTTCCAGAGATATGCAATATGAAATATTCGGTTTGTATGGGAGGTGAACCGCCCCCTGACCCTAGCGGTATGAAATCTACTTTACATCCGATTCTCATACCTACCATATATACACAAAACATTTCTTGAAAATCGGTCGAGCCGTTTAGGAGGTGTTCGACCGCTAAAACCGTAACGATTTTTATATATTAGATATAACACTACAAAAAAAAATGTATGAAAAGTTCCTTTTACAAGCCTTTTATATTTTTAGGGTCGCTGAATTCGAACCTGAGTCCGTTTTGATCCATCACGTCAGAAGTTTTATCAAAAAACATGGGGAACTTTATGTGACTAATATTGACGGATTGACTTTCCTCTTGGTTCTTGAGGTCGCTGGTTACGAATATGAAGTCAGGTTTTTTAAATTCAAAATGGCAGATCCAATATGGCGGTCAAAGGTACCAAATATTATAAGAATTCAAATATTTCTTAAAATTTGACTTCACGCTCGTAATCAGCATGCCCAAAAATTCTTGGATACCCAGATTAAATTTGCCCCTCAATATTTGAAAAATTTTGACTGTCACATGAAGTCCGCCATATGCTTTGAAGTTACAAAAAATCCTGACGCAAAACGGACTTACGATTCGTGTTCAGCGACCCCAAAAACATATTGAACACTCAGTCTGGGCAAAATAAACTTTCATCGGTTTTCTGTGAAGTTGCTTAAAATTTGGAACTTTGAAAAATTTTGCCTTGATAACTAGCTTAAACTTTACCAATTTATGAGCACATTATAAAAGTGTATAACAATCATTTT